AAGAGAAAATTACATATTCTACTACACAATTCCATCTTTATTTCACATTTATAACCCTTATATATTTATTTACAAAGTAACTAAAATTATTATATTATTTGCATATATACTAGAAGTTGATTTGAATAGGTAACTTCCCTAATTATATGGATTGAATTGGTAACTCTTCTTCTCTCTCTCCTTCTCTCTCTCTTTCTTTTCGTTATCTTTCACCTCTCTCTCCTCTTCATCCCTCTCTCTCTTCTTCACACGCCATATCCATGGCGAAAACTCGTTCTCGACGCGAAAAATTTCTTTAGCCTCATCTTTGTCGCTAGCCCGTCATGTGATAGCCCAGTAAACCATGAGAAGAAAAGCAACATGAAATTCAGGCACACTTTGTCTTGAAATTAATAATAAGGATCTCTGCTAGACTAAAGATGTGATTCCTCACCTTTTTTTTTCCTTTTTGTGAATTTTTTTCTAGATTTGCTGGGAGATCTTTTTTTTCTTCATCTACTTTTTGGCAACAAGTTAAGAGAGATTATCTTTATCACCTTTTTGGCAACATAGATCAAGACAACAAAAAGAAAAAGAGAAGAAAAAAATGAAAAGAAAAGAACATGGTGGTCATTGTGGCTGACAGCCGGAGGCCACGGGGGTTGTGCCGTGGTGGCTATGACGGTCGCTGGATTGGCCGGACGTGGGCTGGAGGAGAGCTCGTGACTGAAAAAAGGAATTGATTTCTGAAATTTGAAATTGTGGTCTAATGTCTTTTCTGTATATCTTCTGTATATATTCCAAATATAATGTGTATATATTCCGTATATAATGACAAGATTGATTTATCTTCTATATATCTGTTGTGTATTTTATATATGTCGTCGGTACATAATGAGTATATTTTCTGTCTATAAGTCTGATCGTGTATTTTGTATGTATTAACCAGAAAATATACTATAAATATACAGAAAAAAAACACAAGATGTAAATAACAAAAAAAGTAAACAAAATAGGATTTCGAAAATAAAAAATTACCAAGTTGATTTCATATATTTTTTGGACTTATATGTTTTTTTTATATCTTCTGTATATATTCTGTATATAATAACAAAATTGATATATCTTTTGTATATTTATTGTGTATTTTCTTTTATGTGGACAATATACAATGAGTATATCTTCTGTATATGTTCCCGACAAATATACTATTTTTTTAGTATATGTTAAGGTCGACAGTATATTTTTAGTACATGTACATGAGTACGATTTTCAACTTGTTTTATATACTGTAAATATACAAACAATATACATAATAAATCAAGACAAATTACAAAAATTATAAAAAAATAAAAAAAAAAAAAAAACGTTGAAAAAACAGATTCCTAATTAGTATTTATATACACTTACTTTTTTTTGTCAGTTAAATCCTAAAGATGCGTGATTAGTTTATATCACTTACCTTTTATTTCCCACTGAATTTCCTTAGTTGCGTGATTTTAGGATGGTTCATTACTTTGATAACGGACGTTTTTAAGTCAGCAAATATTAAGGCATGTTAATCTAGTATGCATGCTAATAAAATGCTACATCTCGTACATCAGCAATTTTTTAATATTCTTGTGATAGTTTAAAAATTTCGCCCAAATTCTTTGTGTTAGACGATCTATTAACTAGTTTTTTCAGTCATAAACTATTACCTATAAACCTAAAACAAATATATAGTCTATCAACTAACTTATCAGCTAGCTTTTCTATTGGATTTATCAAACATACTCGCATTATTAAACTTGATAAATAAATGCATAATATTAATGTGTTGAAACATGCATGCAGGAGCAAGAAAAGTACGCAGAGGCCATCGAAACTCTGAAGAATGACGTGAGAGCTAAGATAAATGATGCGAAATCTAGCAAGTCGCTGATTACTCTAATCGCTACAGTTGGGCGCTTGGGATTGGGATATCATTTTGAGACAGAAATCACTTCCAAACTCGAAACAATATACGAAAATCTGCAAGAAAAGCACGAAGACCACGACCTGTTTACTACTGCACTAGGATTTCTTCTGTTGAGGCAACATCAGTATCAAGTTTCTTGTTGTATGTCCTTCTATTTGCACTAAGTTACATTTAAATAATCACACGCGCATATTTTATTTATATTAATTGAATTTATTATTCGATCAAATCGCAGGTATTTTCGAGAAATTTAAGGATGGAGAAAACAAATTCAAAGATGACGTGGCGAATGATGCCGAGGGGTTGTTGAGCTTGTACGAAGCGGCCCATGCTCGTATTCATGGGGAGGAAATTTTGGATGAAGCTGTTCCGTTTACAACACATCACTTGAAGCGAATACTGGCAACCGAGACAATAAAATCCTCACTCAAAGAACAAATTATGCGAGCTTTAGATCATCCTCATTACAGGGGAGCTCCAATCATTGAGATACGCGTCTTCATTCCACTCTACGAAAAGGATGATTCCAAGGACCCGTTGCTTCTCAAACTCGCCAAACTCAATTTCAATTTCTTGCAGAATATGTATAAGAAAGAGTTGTCTCAACTCTCCAAGTAAGTAACTTCAACATTTTCTTTCTTTCTTTCTTTATGTTCTTGGCATTTGAATATGTTAATGAAACATAAAAAGAGATTTTTATTTATTTATTTATTTATTTTTGTGGATAAAAAGTTAATCTTTTTAATTTGTGGTATTTGAAAGTTGGTGGATTCAATTGGACCTTAAGTCGAAACTGACGTACGCACGAGACAGATTGATCGAAAGCTACCTCTGGGGAACAGCTATACATTTCGAACCTCAGTACGCTTATGTTCGAAAAATTGTTGCTAAAATTATGCAACTGCTTTCGGTAATAGACGATACGTATGACAATTACGCTACACTTGATGAAGCTCAACTCTTCACCGACATTTTGGAAAAGTACGTATAATCGAAAAATAAGATGCATTTGTTTCCATTTTAAACTTCTCTCGAAATAGATGTATATTATTAGAAGTATAATTCTTCTTATTTTCAGATGGGATATAAATGAAATCGATCCACTCCCAAACTACATGAAGATTGTTTACGAGTACATCATGAGTTCGTATGAAGAATATAAGCATGATGCAGAGGAACAAGACAAATCCTTTGCAATTCCCTTTCATGTAGAAACGGTGAAGATCGTCTATAATAATCTATTTGGCATTGAGATTTCAACTTAGTTACCAACTAGTTAATTTTTAAACACTTGACATCAAATATAATCTCTACACCTTTCACAACAGGTGAAACGGATTGCTCGAGCATACAATCAAGAACAAATATGGATAATGGAACGTCAAATGCCCTCGTTTGAACACTATATGAAGAATTCGATGGACACAAGTTGCATGTATGTGGTATTCTCTGGTCTAATCCCGGGCCTCAAATCTTCTACCAAGGATACTGTTGATTGGCTGGCGAGCGAGCCTATGCCCTTCATATCCACTGCTAAGATGTGTCGACACCTTCAAGACTTGGGCAGTGAAGATGTAAGTATTGTAAATCAACAATTAGGTTAAAGAAGTTATATATATAGTGTGGTGAGACTTGACTAAGTTGGGTTTTTACATTTTGAAATCTTGAAGCGCGAGAATAGAGAAGGAAAACTGCTGACGGTGGTTGATTGCCACATGAAGGATTACGGCGTGTCAAGAAAAGAGACATTGTCGAAATTCAAAGAGTTTGTGGAAAATGGTTGGAAGAATGTGAATACAGAGTGGGTCGCCAAAAACTCGGTACCAAAGGAAATGCTCGTGCCACTCATTAACTATGGGCGGATGGCCGAGGTGACTTACAAGGATTCCATAGACCATTTTACGTTCCCTGACAAGTTCATGACTCCGGTTATTACCGCCATATTTATTGACCCCATTGCCATATGATTTCGAATCTATCTATTATGTGTGTGCCAACGATTTGTTTGGACTTGTTGTTCTTGAATTATGGTTACTTGTTTGGATAATTTCTGTTGTTGTTGTGTTGTTGTTGCAGCTTGCATTGTCAAAACATATGTTGTTCTTGAATTCTGGTTGTATCTTGCACTATTAAAACCTAGCTATATGGTTGTGTGAGACTTTGAGTGTGTAAAAATAAATTAAAGATTTATGAATAAGCATTTATAAGTGAAGTTGTGTATTGACTGGTGTCATATGGACAAAAAAGTATTAGCCATTGTATCCATCTATGCTTTGAAAAGAATTTAAGAAGCTTTTTGTTTTGTGGGGATTATTATTATATCATGTGATTGACTACTTCATGTAGCTGTGGACAAGAACCCATATTGTATGAAGTAACACTAAGGGGGTGCTTTGATATAAATTTATTTGAGTGCTTGAATAATAATTTAAGAGACGAGATCATAGGTACCAATTAACTCATTAGTCATCAGCAGCCCAGCCATCAGTTAATTTTTCAACTAGATTTATCAAACATAAAATAAAGCCACCGATCATTGCCGATATGTTTGGCTAACAAATACTTATAAATTAATGTGAAAATAGCTATTTTCACCCCGTTTTGAAGTCCTCCTAAGTTTTTCACACCACCCAATAAAAGGCTAAGTTTTTCACCCCAAAAAGTACGAAGACATATGCGATGAACTATGCAATAGATAGACGACCGGTATGAGCATGGGCGAGAAAATTATGAGTTAAAGTATGCGACTGTTCTGCGACGAGTATGCGGAAATTCGATGTACGATTCGGTCAATCGCGGCCGTTGCCCATTAAATAATTATTCTTGTTAGGCAAATGAATCTGCGACTATTAGTCGAAAAGATTATTCTGCGAGATACGAACGTCGAATATTATTCGCAGAGTTGGTGCATTATAAGGTTTTTTCGTAGAATATTTTTTTATTTCTTTCATCTTTCAGTTATGCGATGGGGTATGCGAATTTCCGCATATTGCTCGCACTTTTACTCGAAAGTTATTTTTTATTTCATTTAGTTAATTCAGTTATGCGAGGGGGTATGCGTATTGCCGCATATTTCTCGCATATCCCCTTCGCACTTCTACTCGAAATTTTAATTTTTATTTATTTTTTATTTCTTTCACCTTTCAGTGATTTCAGACATGAGATGGGGTATGCGAATTGCCGCATATTGCTCGCATACCCTACTTCGCACTTCTACTCGAAAGTTTATTTTTTATTTCTTTTTTATTTCTTTCAACTTTCAGTTATTTCAGTTATGAGATGGGGTATGCGAATTGCCACATATTGCTCGCATACCCCCTTCGCACTTCTACTCGAAACTTTATTCTTTCATCTTTCATCGTTTAATTTAGTTTAATTATTTTTTTTCAGGTATGAGAAATGTCACATACATACAACCAACAACAAAAATATAATAAAATGCAAAAAAAAAAAAAAATGTATTACATGAGTAATTACAGAACTGGGGCGGTAATAATTGTTACATAATTGTTTCTGGTTCCTAAACTGAAAAATTTGTCGAGCAATTTTGCGCCTCATGTCCGTAGCCCACTGCTGGTTAGACTTGTCTAAGGTCTTGCTCCCCATTAGCAAAGCTCGTACCATCTCCACAACGCATACACCACAAGAAATTTTATCATGTTGCAAGATAGTATTTTTGAGGTTCATGATTTTCAAATCAAACTTTTTGCTCACCCTCTCTACTCCCGCATACGTCGCAATCAGTGGAATTAGATTTTGGACTTTTTTGAATGCTTTGACGCGGGATTCGAATATTTAGTTGTTGAGTTAGAGTTTGTTAATTCTACGAATTGCGACTTTTAGAACCGAAAGGGGAGGAGTCGTAGAGAGAATCGATTTCAAAACCGAGAGGGGAGAAATTGGTGAAATTTGGCTCGTTTAGAGTAGACATGTTCGGAGACGTATTGTCTATGTGTTAATTGTTTCGTTAATTTACTCTTTTATGTTTATCCTCATATTACGAGAGTTAGTGAGGTTAAACCGCTAAATGAGTTAGTTAGTCAAACCATTTAACCGAGTTATTGATTGCCGTTAAAAGTGTGTAGAACCGGAAGCGATTATTCCCGATACCCTAGCTCGTTTATCTTTTTATCGTTTATATTTTTAGGTAGATTTATGTTTATGTTATTTCTTAGTTAATAATCAAAAACCAATCTTTTGATTAGAATGTTTAGGATTTATTTTCCTTTTATGTGTTATCAATACCATTTCTAAATTCCGAATCGTCTTCCTCGACAGATCGACCTTAGAAATGAATCATTCGATTCGGTGCTCGATAAAATAAAATAATTTGCTACAACAAATTTGGCGCCGTTGCCGGGGAAGGCAAGTAGGATATTTGGTTTTGGTATTAGTGTTATTTTCCGTGTTTCTCTTACTTTTGTGATATTTGCTTAATTTCAATGTTTTCTCTCGATTTTCTATTTTCCATTTCTCTTGTTTTTGGTATATTTTTGAGAAATCGTAAAAAAATAATATTNATATATATATATATATATATATATATATATATATATTTCTTGGTCTCGTGTGCCTTGGTTGTTTTGCGTTTCTTGTGCAAGGTGTTTCCCTTTAGGAGCTCCAATGGACCCGTACGACTATTCTTATACCAGAAGCTCATCTCGTGGATACCCCGACAACTACCAAGAGAAGATGTACTCACATGGAAGGCCGCCTTATCCGTATCCGAGCTATTTAAATCCCTATTGCTATGACGGATACTCTCCAACCCAAGGGTATGGCCCGAGCCGTTCTTACCCGACATCTCTAGGCGGATACGATTATTACACTCCAATTCACTACGAGACGCCTTATTACCAACCTTCATCTTCCAACTACCACTATTCTTCTCTCCCCGAATATTGTGATTCAATACCACCACCCGAGTCCTATGTTCGACCCTCTCTTATATATGAGCACCAATCGGTTGGCCAGCTTTGCACATCGAGGACCGAAACTTCAATTCAAACAATGGTTGTGCCTACTGGCTTTCACCAAGAGGTTTTCACGAACACTCGAGAGGTACTTGAGAACCACCTATCGATCATAGATGAGTTTCATAATTGGAGCCTGTTCCATCCGTTATTCAAACCCAACTCACGAAGTTCAACTCTACCGTAGTTGCTTTCCTCGACTTGGACGCATCTCATATTTCGCTTAGTAGATATTCTTCTTTATCGGCGAGAGTTTTTCGAGAAAGCACACAGTTAGAGGGAGAATTTCGAGCTATGGTGGATTAGTTTGTCTCTCTCAAAGAGGGGGGCCTCACCCTCATTTACGATGGAATACAATCTCTCGACACGAGGGACGACATTGGCGATTTGGTTGTTAGAAGAATCTCTTCTCTGGACGATCCGAGCTGAAAATCCACGTTCAAAAAGTCAAACCTAACCTCCGCTGATTGTGCGTTGAGTTCGATTGCTATTGATGAGAGTGAGTGTGTGGACTCGGAGACCTATACAGTGCATGGTATGGGGGATAATTCACTTGAAGATTCGATTGTGCCGGGTGGTGTTGAAAGAGCTCGGGATGATGATTGTGAGGAAGAGATAGTTCACGATGTCGTGGATGAGGTGGAGGAGGATGCCGAGTCATTATAAAAGGTCATTGACCTGAAGTGTGCATTGATGAATGACCCGGCTTATGATGTTGAGTACGAAGTGGTTCCCATGTCCTTTGGGTCGCCATTTTGTGTTATCGAGGACTGTGAACAACTGGAGGAGTTCAGTGCGTACACCCACGTGCTTCCGACTCTCAAAATTATCGAGCACACATCCGAGATGACATTGGCATTAACCGGGATGGATTCGACATGCTCTACAGACATGTTCATAATTTCGGAGGTCGACCATAGGGCCTTGGTACGTATAGAATTATCTTTTCTCTTGATGGGTGTTAATATCCGCGCTCGGTTCCACAAGAATACCGCCACGAGAGTCTACATTGCCCGCCTATGTTCCGTACTACCAACGGGACTACTACTGGAGAATACAAAAGCGTGGCATGATCGACATTTCTTTTTGGATCCTGGTTGATTTGTACAGGTTTCGTCAAGCTAATGACGTTAAACAAGCGCTTCTTGGGAGGCAACCCAAGTTTCATTTATTGCTTTCTTGTGTGTTTCGTTTATGCTTTTTATTTCATTTTTATTTTTGATTAATAGGAGTTTGGAGTTCTTTGTGTATTTCTGGGCAGGACGTATAGAGGACTCGTTGATCATGGGCAGACGGTTTGAACGTGAATGCTTATTTCCCTCGAGGTTACTTCGGTTTGCACACCTCTTCTCTTTTCATCTTTGTGAGATTGTTTCGTGTCTTTTGAGTCTTTGTTCTTGTGTGCTAGTTACTAAATTGGTTTATCATGTGAAAGTGCTACGTCTTGATATTTGAACTTCCTGGTTATGTATGGAAGCAATGAGGACATTGCTTCATTTTAAGTGTGGGGGAGTCGACTTGGATTTGGCATGCTTATGTGGTGAACTGGTCTAGTATCTAGGTTGTTGTGTTGTCGAGCATGTGGTATTGGTGAATTATATGATTTGTTGATAATTGTTTGATGAAATTGGGAAGTTGTGATGACGTACGTAATTACCATTGCCTCGATATTTACTTGACTGCTTTAAGTGACAATTATTTACCTCGTGAGGTTTTGATCCTTACTTTTCTTTTTTTAGAGATTTTGGTCGTATTCTCGAATGATTAGAACTTGCCTTGAGTCTATTTGAAAAGAATCGGTTAAAGTTTGAAATTTCGTAAATGATTGAGGCGTTTTGTTTGTTAGCTCATTTTGCCTTGTTCTTTGGTCCTAACATTATATTCCTTAGTAACCCGTTTGAGCTTTGAGCCGTTTCTTCTTAGCCGCACATATAATGAATTTTGTCGATTGCTATTCATGATTATTGGTAAAAACGGAGTCATTGTTTAATGAGGTGAAAATTGAGTTGCATTTTATGCTTGACCAAAATAAAAAAAAATATAATACATGAGAGCTCGCAAGACGAAACGATGGGATTCTACTCCGCTTACTTGTTATCCATTTTAACAAGTAATGAGTATTGGGAAACCACCTTAGGGCACCTTGGATGACCTCCAATGTTTAAACCTAAGGAATATTGTCCTTACAATTCGAGCTTGTTCGGAAATAGTAACTCTCTAAATAAAAAAAAAAATTGTGTAATAAGTCAAGCAATATTGCAATTCGATTGAAGCATTTATGTGTTGTTTGTGGAGACATTAGTGGACGGTATGTATGCTACCTTG